AGCGGTGAAATGCAGCCCCCAGGTGAGAATGTAAAGTCTTCACCACAAAAAATTGCAGGACTGCTCTGTAAATACTTCCTAAAATGTGGAAAAGAAAACCCAGAGGAAAAAACCACAACAAAAAGCAGCTGCCTATATTCAGAGAAAGCACAATGACCTCATACACTAAGTGCTTGCAGTTGAGAGGGAGTCATATAGAAACTTATAGACAAGTGGAGTGAGCAAGTCATAAATAAAAGAAAGGCCTTTCAACTCAGCCAGAAGGCTTCGTTTACTCCCCTCCGAGACGCCACAGACTTTACGACACTTTTGTTATTTTGGGTATTTTTGCTGTCTGGAGTTTGTAGTTGTCTTTCCTTTTGAAAATTGATTTTACAAACATTACTTGAGAATCTTTAAAACATGTGTGCTACTGTGGTTCGCAAAAACTATCTGCTTGTCCAAAACAAATATACTATTTGACTTATCCCTGGTGCTGACATGTAGAATTCTCTGATGAACTGATACCAGAACCCTGAAGCAGGTTAAATTTTCATGTGAGTTTAAAGCATTTTTGACTCACTTTGATTCATTTATGAGGCATATTTCATCCCTGACTGTACTACCTGATGGCCGATCTGGCATTCAAAGCATGCGGCTCAGAAACACTGCCCAGAGGAAGTTTGACAGACAGAAAACTTGAACCTCTTCCACTTCTATTCTCCCATGAAACTGGAGGCAGATCGTTTATCAGCACCCTCTGCCAGATTAGTCCCCAATTTGGCAAGAAAACACTCAATTAAATAATCTTTGCAGTGACATTTATCACCATTAGTTACTGCAGGACAATCCAGCATCATATTTTCACCCAACACACTCACATCAGTGTTAACAGCCCATACATTTGTGTAAGTGCTCACTTAAACCTACACTCTAAATTAAATAGGCTAATTCCATTGCAGTGTAAATAGCTGCAATTATTCAATAAATCTGCAATTGGAGGATTTGGACATTTCTAAGTCTCACACGCACAGAAATGCATGTGTACGCGCGCACATAGACATTCATTTTGTTTTCTTTCCTTGCAAAAAACAGTATTGGCATTCTGGGCAAACCCAGTAACTGTCATGCATTATGAATACACAGTCTGCAGCTGTCCTGAAAATCCAACTGGATCCAAGAGGTGAAAGCAAACAGTGGCTCAGCAGTTCTCACAAAAAAAAGTGCAAACCAACCATGCACCTGCTCATGCAAACGGTCAAATGAGTCGCTAATACCTGTCCAGCCGCATCCCGGTGCGCAAAACGTGACGAAAAGTGCGAAAAGCGTCCTGCTTGCGCCTAAAGCCATAGTGAGTGTGGCGCGCCTCTGCTGCGGAGCGACGCACCAGCTGGATGCAGAGGGCTGGGACGCACCGGCCCTGCCCTGCCTCCCCTCCCCTCTGCCTCCGATGGGACAACTGCTCTCACCGCACACTTGCAGCTTGTGTGGATTGAAAACTTGAAAGTCTCACTTAAACGCACACAAATCTAAACTTAATGCTGAATTGGACAGAAAACCAACTTTAAACTACGAAACAAAGTGTTTTCTATGCATGAGAAGAATCAGAGGTTGACGTGATCTTATCTTGTTGAAATACTATTCTTGCTGATATCTAGATATACATGTATAACTTTATTTCTTAACAGCAGCTCACTTCGACCTTTAATGGTGCTTACAGGTTTTCACATATATTTTGGATTTAGAAAAGTAGCAGAAAAAAAACCCCTGACACAATGTCTCCCTCTTCAGGAAGGGGCACTGACCTCATGAGACCTGATGGCAGAGAAATACGACTGTAGATCAATGACAGATTAATTCAGTTATGCTTTGTTGTCTTTGAATGCTCCTCCTGTTTCGTTTTCAAGTGCAGCATTTTATTTAAATGTCTGCATGTAATTGTTATTTTTCATTGCAGACATAAACCTCTGTGGACGCCTTTATGACCCACCTGTCTGTCCTGTCTCATCCTGCGCCAGTCTTATCCTTGCAGACCTGAATAAATATTTCCATGACACCATCCCTGCACCAGGTGTGAGAGAACAGCACTGTGGGCCAACACTCCAACGAATGATCTAATCTGCAGAGATTAAAGTTCACTATTACTTGCAGTTTCCAAGTAATTTGACCACTAGATGGAGCAACAAGCCATAGTTTTGAATATTTAGTTTGTATTCTTATTATACATTGTTTTTGTGTTCCAGTAAGGCTGGAACGATCCACACATGCACACCTGCAGACTCACAGTGGACAACTTTATGGAACTCACATTTTTTTCTAAATGTGAGCTCATCAGTTTTCTCTGTTTTTTCTGTTTTTTCCCCCATTTAATCCGTTGACCCTTAAACATCCAATAAATCCAGCAGCATTACAACAGAGTTGCATTCCTTTAACCCGAGAGTCTTCACAGCTCACAGGTTGAGTCATATCCTCGTTCAAACTGGCAGAATCGGAGCATATGTATGTGGGTGATATACAAGATATGACATACGATTTGGAAAAAGGTCTGAAAATCTATATGAATGTGGTTAGTGATTGGCTCACCTTATTGATTAATTATCTATATGTCAATTTGTGACAACACAAGTTTTTGCTTGTCTGAAGGGGATTTAACTTCAGATCAACATCGCCCTCTGTTGGTTTGGTCCTTTACCTGCAGGAGGAAAAGATGTCAGTCATCACCTGTTCATGACTGAACTCATGAATGACTGAGTCGAGGGAGAAATAGTGAAATGGAAAATCCAGGGTTAGATATAGTAACCAGGTTTTCACAGCACAGTGGCCGCACTGTAAACAGTATTGGTAACAGGTACTTATATCTTAGCACAACAATCATACATCATTGATCAAATTCCATGAGAATCTGTAATGTTTGTCTTGCTCTTTGTTGAATCATTATCTTTACCAACCAAAGTCAATACACCTGTAACTGGTCATCTTCAAGGCCCCCAGGGGCCCATAAAGAGTCAGGGGGTTGTTTTTATATGGTCTCTGTCCATAAAACCTCAACTCCATAAACTCATTACTGGTGCTGATGGAGCCTCCAACAGCCTCTCACTCCCTTTTCATCTAACACAAGCGCATGCACGCACGCACGCACGCACACACACACACACACACACACCACCCACACACACACACACACACACACACACACACACACACACACACACACACACACACACACACACACACACGCTGCAGCATCTTCCTGAGTACATGAGTCAGCAAAAAGCAAAACATTGTCAAACTAAAAAATAATCTTATCGAAGCAGATGGTTGTCTCTTTCACTGCCTGCAAACCTGTGACTCACACAGACAGACAGACAGACAGACAGACAGACAGACAGACACACACACACACACACACACACACACACACACACACACACACACACACACACACACA